GTGCCATGTCCGTGCCCAGGATTCAAACTGGCGAAACCCTGGGCCACTAAAGCAGTGTGCGAACTTAACCACTGGGCCATGGGGCTGGCCCCAACGTTCTCAATTTTTATATGGCAATTAGTTTGTTTAGATTTATTGGAGATTTTGAAGACCTAAGTGACATATCTGGCCTGTTTCAGTAAAACCATCTAGAAATTGAAATATATACACCAACATTTCCTAAGAATATTTAACTTATACAATCATAACTTGAATCCCATCAAGGATCAAGTCATTTTTTCAGAAAGCTCTTCTTTAATATTTAATATTATAATCAAATCACCAACAGGTATAAGAAGGAATAAAGTATTGACAGATTAAAGATTCCATAACAAGGATGCTGGGTTAAGAAGATTCTAACATTATATGTGAGAGAAAATATAAAATATAATAAAGCTTTTTTTTTTTTTTTGAGGAAGATTAGCCCTGAGCTAACATCTGCTGCCAATCCTCCTCTTTTTGCTGAGGAAGACTGGCCCTGAGCTAACATCCGTGCCCATCTTCCTCTACTTTATATGTGGGACGCCTATCACAGCATGGCTTGCCAAGCATGCCATGTTTGCACCCGGGATCCGAACCAGCAAACCCCGGACTGCCAAAGCGGAACGTGAGCACTTAACCACTGTGCCACCAGGCCAGCCCCAATAAACCATTTTTGAATAAAGAAATTTTGTGGAACCTTTGTAAGTGAAGATTCCTTTATTTATTTATTTATTTATTTATGGTTTTTTGCTGAGGAAGATTTGCCCTGAGCTAACATCCGCTGCCAACCTTCCTCTGGTTTTTTTTTGTATACGAGCTACTACCACAGCATGGCCACTGGCAGACAAGAAGTTTGGGTCTGCACCTGGGCTGCCAAAGCAGAGTGTGCCAAACTTAACCACTAGGCCACCAGGACTGGCCCTGAAGATTCCATTATTTAAATGCTAAAATATAGTTTTAGAGTTGTATTACTACATGATCAGTGCAATATACCTGAGAAGCAATGATGGAGAGGATATAAAATTAGACCAGATGATGATAATGAAATATTTCATTTTCATACATATTGAAGAAAGTCCTCAAAGTTACTAAATGTTGTGACGACTAGATAGGATTTAATTTATCCTTTAATTTATCAACATTGTTTGAATATCCACTACTTGCCAGGCTTTGAGGGTGGAAGGATACAAAGATGGATAAGCCATAGGTCTGCCCTGAGGGCATTCAAAGTCTACTCAGAGAAACTGTCCCACAAACAGATGATAAGATAGTATGATATGGAAAGAACAATGATGGTGCATGTGCAAAGTGTACAGAAGAGGACTGCGGAGAGGGGAGAATCAGGCAAAGCTTCTAGGAGTCCAGACCTTTGAACTATGTCTCAAAGCACTACTAAAAGTCACTAAGATGGTGAAGGTAGAGTCTAGCAGAGCAAAGAAAGGGAGCAAGAAGAAGCTTGTGTGTGTGTGTGTGTGTGTGTGTGTGTGTCTGGCAAAACTACTTTGTTGCTGGTAGAACACAAAGAATAAGCAAGATGTGGCAAGAGATGAGACTGGAAAGATAGGCCAGATCAGAAGGAATACTAAATGGCATGTTAAGGAATTTGTATTTTATTTTGTACGTGGTAGAGGATAACTGAAGTGTTCTTAACAAGACAAGTAAAATGCCAATAACGTGGAAAATGGATTTAAGGAGAGTAAAGAACCATGCAGAGGCATAAGTTAGGACCACAAGGCATACACCCAAAACTTTTGAAGGAATATAAGGGTGAGAGTGGAATTACTAGTGAAATATTTCCTCTTGTCTGGAAGGGATTCTATACTAGGGTGATATTTTAACCGTGTAACTACTCTTAAAGAAGGGCATCCACGTCAGGCAATCTGACGGAGTCTGTAATGAAAAGGAGAATCACTGCACTCTTGCAACAGCAAAAACTGATAGACCAAAGGAAATACAAGTTTCTTGGGAGAATCAAACTTGTTCAATCTAGAATTCTTTAGGGAAAAATTGCATGAACAATGAGAAATTAAGTGAAAATAAATGATTTAAAGCTGTTTATGGACCTTTAGAGGGTTATAAAGCACCTACAAAGAACAAGAACTTTAGATATATTATTGCATTTAACTTGCAGATGGGGAATCAGGTTCAGAAAATTCATCCTATATGCCCAAGTTACACAGCTAGCAAATGGTAGAGCTGAACTCAAAAAGCCCATTTCCAAAGTTTTTACTATTCCATACCACATACTATACTATACTACATATTATAAGTATGTTGCCTTGAAGTAGGGGACTGTAATAGTGTCCCAGCCCTAATATCCAAACCCTAATTGTGCTTTCTGTTAAATATGGACTTTGAAGTCAGGAAGATCTTGGCTCAAATTTCCAGCTCTGAACCTTTCTGAGGCTCAAATGTGCTATTTGTAAAGTGTATGTAAAAATATTTACTTCAAACAATGGTTGTGAGGATTAAATGAAATAATATATTTTAAAATGTTTAAAATATACTCATTTAATATAAATTATAAAATAGAAGTAAAATTTCTAGCACAATGATTGACCCTGCACAGTAGATGTTCAGTAAATGTAAAGCACCTTCCCTTGGATCATGATTCTATATCAAATACTATAAAAAACATTGCTTAGGATGGGGGTAATGTTTTATCAGTATAAGTGGAATTTGCTAAGAGAGTGGGAACAAAAGGTAGGAAGGGATAAATGGCCATGTTTCTGGACAGGGAATTTTAAATAATAACATACCTCAGTGGTTACAACTGGAATGAGCATTTATATTATTAAAATGAATTATCTTTAAAAATCCATGAGTGGCTTAGTGGTTAAGTTTGGCACACTCCACTTTGGTGGCCTGGGTTCAGTTCCCAGGCACGGACATACATCACTCATCAGTGGCCATGCTGTAGAGGCATCCCACATACAAAGCAGGAAGATTGGCAGAGATGTTTGCTCAGGGTGAACCTTCCTCAAGCAAAAAGAGGAAGATTGGCAACAAGATGTTAGCTCAGAGTGAAACTTCCTCAGCAAAAAAAAAAAAAAAAAAAGAAAAATCCATAAAAAATAAAATCCCTAAGTTTGAAATGAAACTATAAACTTTTCTAAGGAGTGAAATGTGATTTCAATAAGGAAAAGTTATGGGGAAAATCTAAAAGACTATGTGAACAGACAGGAAATTAGGAGGAAAGATTTAGTGTAAAAAATAAGGCTTATTAGGAAGATCTAATGCATAGCATAGTGATTATAGTCAACAATGCTGATACTGTACTATAAACTTCCAACTTGCTAAGGGACTAGATCTTAGTTGTTCTCACCACAAAAAGAAATGATAATTAGGTAATAATTGTTATGTGATAGACATTAGCTAGCACTACAGTGGTAATCATATTGCAATATATAAATGTATCAAATCAACACATTGGACACTTTAAACTTACACAATGTCAATTATTTCTCACTAAAATATATATCTATATGTATTTTAAAAGATGGTTATAAGAATGGTAATATGCTTGCTTCATTGAGAACTGTTATTTATGGGAATGGATGTGATAGGCATTCTGCAATGCATGTAGAGAAGTGATTAAAAACACATGTAATGAAGATAGTTGTAGAAATGAAAAAATAAAAATAAAAATCACCTACAGGATATGAAAAAAAAATCAAGGTTCTTGGAAAATTAATTTAATTAAAATTAATTAATTGAGAAAGTTAATACATTTAAGCATTAAATGATCCATAGATACAGTAGGGTGTAAGCTATTAATTATAACCTACAAAAGAGAGTTATTCCCTCTGTGTGTGTGTAGATATGTAAAATACATATATTCAGAAAAATATCTTTTACGAGTTCCCATTGCGTAGCCATTTCCCCTTAAAACTCCAAACTCTTTAACATGCCTTTTAAGGCCTTTATAATCTAGCCATTCCAGTCTTATCCCCAACTATATCCTTTCACATATCTATAGTCTAAAAGTGCCAGGCTACTCACCACTCTCAAAATATAACTTTCATCATCTTGGCTTTGTTTACAGTATTCCTTCAACCTGGAATTCATCATCCCTTTCTTCCCAAACTTTAGTGACAGTAAGAGTGAGATTTTATTTAAAATACAGATCCTGAAGTGTACCAATAAGATTTTGATTCAAAAGTTCTGGGAAGCAGCCAGAATCTGCATTTTCAACAAGCATCCCCTCCCCCAAGATGATTCAGTCCAGGTGATCAGGGTCCACATTTTGAGAAGTATTGGTATTGTGGAAACAGAGAAGAGCTGGGTTTGCTTCCCAAATCTGCTATTTATTAATTACATGACTTTAGAAAATTACTTAACTTTGCTCAGATTCCTTTTCCTCTCCTGTAGAATGGCAAAACACTATCTGTTTAGGAGGCCCAAACGTGTGGGTATCCATAATAGTAAAGAGAGAGAGTGCATTTTTGTGACTGTTTCTCAAAATGCTATTCAACATCTTCCCATGAAGTCTTCCTTATTCCTCCTGTTAGAATTAATTATGCTTTCCTTCTTGCTTAAATAGCATGCTTATATTTCTATTTAGCAGTTATGTCATTCTCTCTTTGACAATGTTAATTTATTAGTCTCCTATTCTGGCTTGTAAGTTCTTTGAAGGCAAGGAAACTGTCTTTCTCATATTTTCATAATTAAGTACCTTCAATATATCTTGTACATATCAATACTAAAATGTTAATATATTAAGATAATAATAAGCAACACTATTATAACATTAAAAAACTCTGTGAAGAGTTAATGAAAATTTGACAGTCATAGATTTTTGAAAGTTTAGTCATATAGCAAACTATGTAGATTAAAGTCTCATTAAGCAAGTCTCCCACCCCTATCCCACCCCCCCTCCACTTACTAAGGATGAGATGAGAACTGAAAGGAACTAAGGCCAAGTTTGCTGAGTTAGGGTCAATAATTATGTCGATCTAATTCTTGTTAATTTTTTCAAGAAACAACCTAATCAAACGATTACAAGCCATCCAAAACACTGGGAAAGGTTATGAGACCCAGAACCTCTACATAATGCTGAGCAGAATTGATGACTACCAGAAAAAGGTGATGCGGGTCTGGACCAAGAAGCAGAAGTCTCTAGAGCAGAAACGGAATCAATGCCTGAGGAAAATGATCCTCTTATTTACCAAGGTAACCTGTTTTCTATTCCGTCTCCCCAGTGTGTTGTGAGAAAAATGAAAGTGGTAAACTTTGGAAATAACATTTACCTGGAGATACTATGTGTATTAGTTTCCCAAGGCTACCATAACAAATTACCACAAACTTGACGGCTTATAACAACAGAAACATATTCTCTTACAGTTCTGCAGGCCAGTTCATGACATCAAGGTGTTGGCAGGGTTGGTTCCTTCTGGAGGCTCTGAGGGAGAAATTTGTTTCGTGCCTCTCTCCTAGATTCTGGTAGCTATAGACAATCCTTGACATTCCCTGGCTTGTAGCTGCATAACTCCAATCTCTGCCTCCATCCTTCCCATGGCTTTCTTCCCAGGGTGTCTTATGTCTTCTCTTCTGTCTCTTATAAAGCTATGTGTCATTGATTTAGGACCCACCTGGTTAATCCAGGATGATCTCATCTTGAGATCCTTAACTGAACTACATCTGTAAAAAACCCCTTTTCCAAATAAGGTCACGCACACAGGTTCTGTGTGAACAAATCTTTTGGGGGGTTCACCATTCAACCTACTACACCATGACTTCAGTGAACCTCCTAAATTGACAACAGGAATACTGGCTGGACTCTCTAGATGAGAAAAGACCAGAATAGGAGAGATTTGCCAAAATGCTCAACTCCTTCCTAGTCAATCCACATCTACCAGTCTCTAGTATGAAACCTCTTGAAGTTACTGTTCTCCAAGTGAGTCTTGGTGGTTATTTCTCTCCTCAAAGCTATCAGAAAGCAAATTTTAATATCATGAGTTTACCAGAAAGGAGATAAGGGTTTAACTTGCTTATATAGCCCCAGACACAGAAGACCCTGTTAAACTTTAACATCCACTTATGTCCCAGCGCCCCTCTGAGATAACCATCAGTATGCTTTTGGAGGTGATGGTGACCTTCCAAAAGTTTTAGAGCTGAGAGTAGAGTCCTTTGCTCCAGGCTTACATGCTCCAGCATGGAGTTCCAGAACATTCTTGGAGTTCTAGGAACATTTTATATCTACATATCCTTTCCTTTCACTAAATTAATTAATTTGCAAGATCAGTTTACTTGCTACTTTAGGAGGTACAAAGAGACTGTTCATTATAGCTGTATCCAAATCAGACATTCCGAATTTCCCAGAACAGTTATATTTTAATATTAAAGCTCTTGACCAAAAAAAAACTGACATTTTTGACAATTTTTGGTTTGGAAAACATGGCCAATGTAGATGGAGTAAAGCAAGATGAGCTGGCAGTGTCATGAGCTGTCTAACAGGAATCACAATGTCTTGGGTATTTCAGAGGATGAATGAAGGTCTGGGGTGAGGGAAGCCAGAATCTAGATAATGAGGTGGGTATCAAGGCATAAAGAAGGGAAAGGAAAAAGCAGAAGGGAGGACAGGATAGAAATGAATAAATACCTTACACTGGATGTGGTCAAGTGGTTACTTCTGCTACCAGCTTGTCTAGGTTCAAATCAGCTTCACCACATAAGTGACCTTGGGCAAGCCACTTAAATTTTCTGAGCTTCAGATCCCCATATCTAAGACAAGGATAATAATAGTATCTACCTCATAAGGTTGTTGTAAATACCAAATGAGTTAATATATAGAAAGCATCTGACATTTAGTAAGTATTCAGTAAATGTTACCTATACATTGCATAGGGCTTAACAATTTATCAAGTGCTTCCATATATACTATCTTATACAACTCTCACAACAACTCTGTGTTATTATCCTTATTTGAGAAATGAGGAGAAAGAGGTGCAGATAAAATTAGCAGTTAACCCAAAGTCACACAGCTAAGAAAAGAAAGGACTAGGACTAGAGCTTATGCAGGACCAAGGTTTTTATGTATCATAGCTGCCTCCTTTGAAATTGTGTGCTGGAGGTGGGGTGGAGGTTGAGGGGTGGTTGGAGAAAGGGAAAAAGAGGATGGAGACAGATTTGTAAACCCATGGAAAAGGAAGAGTCATAGTTTAGTTTTGGGCCAGCTCGGAAGAACTTCCTAAAGACTCTGGTCCTTTCTTTTCATGGTTTCCTTTTTCTGATTTATTTATTTTTAGCTCCAAGACGTGTATAAATTGAATCTTAGTCAACCTATCCCTTTGATCATCAACAAAAAGCAGATACCTGCCTCTACCAAATTTGTTCAACAGCCATTCCTAGAGCTACTGATGCAAGAGGACAGAAAGCCTGACATATTCAAGAAATTTAGGTATGTGGTAGGAAAGACTGACATTAAACTTTCTTTAGATGCTATGTGGGACTTAACGCTTCTTTCTCTGCCCAAGAGCTTCCTTTTCCCCACAAGTGTCATATGGTGCAGTGGAGAGTCTAAGGGAGTACTAATTTTCTTAGCTAATTTAGCAAGAGGCTTATTTATATATATTTCTACTTAAATATTTAACATCTAATTTTGAGTTCCTTAAAAAAAATGAAGCAGATTCCTCCTTACTAAGAAATAAATTTTAATACACAATGAAGAAACTTAGAAGCATTACTTTTTTTTTTTTTTTTTTTTTTTTTTAACAGAAGGTAGGAGCCTTGGGAAAGAAGGGGGAAAAACAGCTTGGATATGGTCTGTATACTTCATGAAGCTAAAAAGGTAGTTTTAAAATGGATTACAAGGTGAAGTCATGGAAATGCAGAAAGAAGGAAAGAAAGAGAGAGAGAGAGGAAGAGAGAGAGAGAGAGAGAGAAAGAGAGAAAGCAAGCAAGCAAGCGAGAAAGAAAGAAGAAGAAAAAGCAAGCAAGCAAGCAAGCTATTTCAGCAAATTCTGCTGTTTTAATCAATCTCTCAGTCCAAGTGGGGCATAGCTACTGTTCCTCAGTGCCAGAGCGGGCTTTATAGGACAGGGTGGTGGTGAAGATAAGAAGGGAGAATAAAAATCATATATTTTGATTGGTTATGGAGCTCAGGAGAGTGTGGTGCTTTCAATTAGTGCTCTCTGATTTTCTAGACAAGAAGACCAAATGGAAGCCATTTGGAATGCTGATCTGTCCACTTCAAGCTACCCAATAACAGAGAAGACATCAATACATTCTCTCTGGGCCCAGCTGGGTGGGTACCCAGATATTCCTATGCTGCTCCAGTTAGATGTTCAGGCTACCTTCAGAAAATCTCTTGCATTCATTCAATCACAGTAAGTTAAGGATGGGGAGCACTCTGGTCACCGGGCCTTTGGTCATATACCTCTTGTTTCCCTAACTTCACTTTCTCTTACAGCACAAGGGAGTTACCAAAAGTAGGTGCTTGGTGTGAGGTTAGACTCAACATTAGTCATAAAATAGTACAGGTAAATTTAGCATTAGTCTTTCAGCGTTTCTCTTCATAGACCTGCAGATGTTACGATTGGAATAATATAAAATAAACAAACAAACAAACAAAACCCCAGTTACAATACCACAAAAGCTAATCTAACACTAGATAGGTCCACTTTGAATTCCACCCTTAGGGATTTATTATTGAAAGTTCCAGAAAGACAATAGTAAAATGCTTTTGTCCACTTCATGGTTCAGTAACAAGACCTCAAATGCAGTTATCATATCTAGGCTCAATTTGTGGTAAATTAGGTGCTTATATCTCAGGATACACTGAAGAGACTTGGAGAGAACAGGTAAGGTGGTTGTGTGGTTCCACATTTCCAAATTCTGTTAACGCAGATGCTCATGTAAACCAGTGGAAATCACCCCAGTGGAAGTGAAGAGTTTTGGAGTCTGCATTTTCTCTTTCAGGACAGAGAATTATTTAATGTTCTAAACTAAGAATTTAGAAAATTGAACTTTTGTAACCTAAAAGAGTTCACAGAAGCAGTTTGATTTATTCTGGTGACATCCAAGTCCTGAGGTAGGAAGAAACAGTGTTAATTCACAAATTTGTTTAGGTGACAGTCACCATGAGATAAGATATTTAAAATTCTATAATATAGTAAAATAACAGCAAATATATTACTATATAATGTATACAATATAAAGTCATATACCATGAGCACAAGTGTTCTCGAAAAAAAGTTATCAGAGCAAATGTAACCAGTAAGTTGAATAAGCATGACTCATAAGAAAGCAACTTTTTGTCTCCCATTTTCCTTTACGTTTTTTGGAGTGATTAATTAACTGGTTATCTTGAGTGATAACACTGCTAATTCAATGTGCTTGGGACAAGATATATAATTTTTTCTTTGAATAATATTTCCTTTATTTCCATTCCATAGCTAGCTTCAACTATTAGATATCCTCCAAACTACCCACTTCTTACTCATGCTAAACCCTACAAAATTAGTAAGACCCTTACTTCCAGTTTACTATTTAGAAGGACTCACAATCAAGGAGTTTTCAGAGATTTTTGTTTGTTTGTTTCATAGATTTTTTTTTAGGTATAATGTATATACAGTAAAATTTATCCTCTTTAGAAAGGGTACAGTTCTGAGTCTTGACAAACGCATAGCTATGGCAACCACTAATCTATTTGCTATCCTTATAGTTATACTTTTTCTTGAATGTCATATAAATCAAAATATATAGTATGTAACCTTTTGAATCTGGCTTTTTTCACTTAGCATAGTTTATGTGAGATTCATCCATGTTGTCTCATGTATCAGTAAATCATTCCTTTTCATTTACTGACTAGTATAATGCTGTTGTATGGCTGTACCACATTTGTTTATCCATTCACCAGGTGAAAGACATTTGGGTTGTTTCAAGTTTTTGGCAATTATAAATAGAACTGCTATAAAAATTCATATACAGGTTTTGGGGTGAATGTAAGTTTTCATTTCTCTTAGATAAATACCCAAGAGTGGGATTGCTGGGTTGTATGATAAGTGTATGTTGAACTTTACAAGAAACTGCCAAGTTATTTTTCAAAGTGACTGTACATCCCTTTACATTTATTCAGTGGGGCTAGTTCTTACCTTGCCTCTGGATGAAAAGCTAGGTGGTTCCATGACATCTTTGGTAACTTTTCAGTAACATAAGTTTATCTGGTCAGTAATTAAAATGTCCAGGAACATGTACAATAAAACTGTAACTTTGTTTTAAAGTTGAGACTTCTTCTCTCCTCCAGCTTAGATTATTGCAATTTAGTCACAGAAGGGAAGGACATGAACAGTTCCTTTTCTCTTTTATGGCCAAGTGTTACTGTTCCTACGTTTCTAGCTTGCTACTATGGAACAGCTTAGGAAACAGAGCTCTAGGAAGGGAAGAGATAGATGGTAAAGGGAAAGTTCTTACTATTACTGTCACATTTCTAACATCATTACTTCCTAGATGTGGCAGATTTTTAAAGCTGACTGTTTCAGCGGGTACTTCGGTGAGTTCCTTGGAGATTGTTATTACTAGAGATCTCTCATCTGCAGATTTCCAGAACTTGGCAAACACATTTCTAATCCAACTGGTTATTTAGATTTGTGATACCTTCAGTTTCACTCTGCTGAGATGTGTTTGCATATTCAGGCAGCCCTCCTGGACATCCATGACAACTCCATGACATCTCTCTTGGATATTTGTGTATGTGTGGCCCACATCTAGTCTACAGGAAACACTTGAGCCTTTGTCCAGATAAACTCTGAGTTTGAAGGTTTATCCCAACGCAGCAGCAGCTGCTTCTTTGCTTCTGCCATTAGAGAAGCTAGCCAACCAATCACTTGCCTTATTTTTTTTTCAGGTATGCAATAACCCCCAGCCTATTGGGCCTCCAAAATGCAGGGGCCCTTGTTAAGTTCCTCCTATCCTAGGAGGAATGGTAGGAGCACTCTCAAAATCCTCTTCTCCTTGACCATTTCATATCCTCAGAGTGAGTTAGAAGATTAAGAGTCAATTACTTTGTAAACCCCAGTCTAGCACTTCTCTTTAGAATTGGGTATCTATTGTTAGGGTTGCGAGATTTAGCAAATAAAAATACAGGACACCCTGTTAAATTTGAATTTCAGAAAAACAACAAATGATTTAGTGTAAGTATGGTTCATGCAATTTTATACCTTTACTAAAAAATTACTCATTGTTTATCTGAAATCCAAATTTAACTAGGCATCCTGTATTTAATCTGGCAACCCTTCTACTGTGCCGTGCCAAAACTTCTATTTTGACATGCTCTTACATACAAAATACATATTAGAAGATTCTAACTTGTAGAGTTAGATGCCTGAAAACTTTCAGAGTAGGAGATGCTGAAAACAGTGAAAAAGTTCAAAACATTATAGAAAATGGGAGAACTGAAGTCTTGGATTTTTGCTATTTTTCATTAAAAATAGTATTAATACAGAAAATAATCAATTTTCAAGACTTCTTAAATAGTAATAATGGGCACTATTTATCATTCTCTTTTTTTCTAACTAGAATCTCTTCAAGGTCTCCCTCCTCCAAAGAGGATTATATTTATTTCACTTTGTGGCAATTAAAGTGCAAACCAAGAGACTTTCTTTACCTCTGGGTTAGTTATTTCCACTGTCCTCTAGGTCTCACTTTTTCACTTTTTTTCTTTTTTGAAAGATTTTATTTTTCCTTTTTCTCCCCAAAGCCCCGGGTTCATAGTTGAGTATTTTTAGTTGTGAGTCCTTCTAATTGTGGCATGTGGGATGCCGCCTCAGCACGGCTCGATGAGTGGCGCCATGTCCGCGCCCAGGATTCAAACTGGTGATACCCTGGGCCACCAAAGCAGAGTACACGAACTTAACCACTGGGCCACAGGGCAGGCCCCTAGGTCTCACTTTTAACAGTCACTCTTTCTGAGCTGTCTTCTCTGACTCCTCCATAGGCTGCCATAACATCTTGTAATTAACACTATCCTAGCACCTACCATTCTGTACTGTAATTGCTTCATTACTTACCTCCCCTGATTTTAGATATGTTTTGAGATTAGCTGCCTGTCGTATTCAACTCCTCAACTTTTTCTCTGCCTGCTTTCTTTTCAAAAATATTTACTGACTACTTACTATGGGCCAATCTTTAGTTAGCAGCACAGGGACTCCATGGAAAATGAAGCAAAAAGGCAGACTTAGAAGAAAATAAGGCACTGAGATACAATATGTGGGAAGGGGTCAAGAGACCATGGATGACAGGCAGAAGGAACAATACGTGCAAACATCCAGGGTTAATAGCATATGGCTTCTTTTGCTTTATCTCCTAAAAAATTTTTTTAAAAAAATGAATAAAAAACCCTCCTTACTCCCTAGTTCCCTTTCTTCTTGTTTCCAACAGGGGTGACTAGAATTAAAATTTCTCTTCCTGCCTTGATGTGTTATGTGATGCTTGGTGCTGTTGCCATCTTTGGCAACGTGGAGGTGATAACTACAGGACAAAAACACAATACACCAAGAATTACAGAGAAGAAAGATAAGTAAAACCCTGTCCTTGATGACATTGAGTTGCTAGAACAACCCTAAGTACACCTGCCTCTGGGCTTTTCGTTAAGTGAGCAATAAATGGCCTGATAGTTTCAGCCATTCTTAGTCAGGGATTCTATTACTTACAGCTAAAAAATATTACTGACTTATTTGGTTTATACTTTTTCCCCTCAGGAAAGTCTTTCCTAATCTTCCCTATTGCCCTTACATGCCATTTCTCCATACCTCCATAGTATCCTAAGCTTATTACTCTATCAAACTAATTCTTACTTACGAAACAGTAGGCAAAAGTTAGGTTCATTCAGAATAATTGGATCTGCTGTTTCTCTTTGTCATTCACCCTATGTCTCTGTGACTTTGTTACTCTGTCACACACAAGCACACATGTACACATTTTGCCTTTCACTATTCAAATATTTGTTTAAAATACAGGTAGAGAAAGGGGGCACATAGTGTGATACATCATAATCCTTTATTTCCCTAAGGGATAGTCCTAGCAGATGGTTTGCACACTTGGAAATAAGTGAATGTTTCAGATGTCTACCTTGGCTTGTTAGAGCATTTTCCCTGAGGGGAAAACTACTTAGGACACAAATCATAAATCAGAAAGTTGGCTGGTAAATATAGGATCAGGGCAGAAGAAGCTACTTATGTGATATCGATGGTTGTGACAGGAGATTATGATTTGGATTCGTCTCCACTGTTTGTGGAAGGATGTACCTAACAAGCAACCTGGACAGTTGTGTGGGCTACACAGCATCCCTTTTCTCCAGAGACTCCTCTCTGACCTTGTGTTTCTTGTT